AGAAGGGGGCTGGCCTGGTCTAGCCCCGCCAGCGACCGGCCCCGCGCGCCCTTCCTCGCCTGTCCGTACTCCTGCCAGCACTTAGCCTTTTCTTTTGTTGTAAGAAAACGACTCCACCGTAGCAGCTGCGCTCTGAGCGCCACTATGCAGCTTGCTCGGTAACCCAGCTGTGCACGCTCGGGCCAGCTGCTTTGCACTTTGGAGGGCTCTCGCCGGGCCCACGCATCTCCCAGGAGTGGACAGCCGGGGCTCCAAAGGGTGCCAGTTGTGGATGGCCCAGGACACGTGCCCAGGCAGAGACCTAGCTGGGATCCGACAGCACAGAGCTGTCCGGCAGCGTCGCGCCCCCGAAGACAGGCGGTGCTGCTATTGTTTTCCAGAGGAGAACCCAAGGAGGCTCTGCCCTGGGGGGCGGAGCCCCTGGACTCCCCCAAGACACCTCGCCTCTTGGAAGATGCAGGAACTGCAAGTGGGAAAAATTCTCCTTGGGGTAAAGCTGTTACAGCTGCTAAGGCAGTGCGGATAGGCTGGGGGAGGGGGACGTGGAGCACGTACCTGTCCCACTGCCCCACAGATCCCGTCCCCCCACTGTGTCTGAGCGCACTAGCATCAGCCCAACGTGCGCCCTGTGCACCGCGCCCGGGCGGGGCCGGGACAGTGCACCAGCTCTGCTCCGAGACCTTTCCTCGCCCCTCCCACGCAGGCCAGCGCGGTGCGGGTGGGTTATTGTGCAATGTCAGTTTCTTCAATAAACCCCGTTTCCTACCCTGGCTGCTTCATTGCTCCGCCCGCTGCTGTGCTGGGGGGCGCAGACCCTGGTGCGGCTGGGCCATGTCACTGGATGGGGAGGGGCCAGGCCCTCGGGGAATGTCATTTCCTGGGCGGGCCGCTGTGTGTAAGAAGGACAGAACGAACCCAGCGGGAGCTCGTTGTGCGGGGGGGGGCCATTTCCATATTTCAGGCTGGCTCGTGTCTCTGCAGCCACATGCCCCAGTGCGGGGTCTCTAGGGGGTCTCCACGGCAGCTGTACCTCAGAATGAGCTATGCAATTTGCGCTACACGAATCGCGTCGCTTGTGTCGAGGTCATTGCGAAATAAAGCGCCATTCCGAACGTCCCTTAGCCCTCGTGCATGGGCTCCCGGGGCGTCGGCATAGCGAGCCCCTTCCATTTCAATACAACGGGCTTGCTCTTAAGACGCGGAATAGCTACTTCAGCAGAGGTGGAGAGTAACTAAGTACAAATACTCGGTTACGCTACTCAAGTACATTTTTCCAGTATTTATACTTTACTCAAGTAATTTATTTTTGTGATACTTCGACTTTTACTCAAGTAGTTCTTTTAGAAAAAATCGTACTTTTTACTCCACTACATTTTCCAGAAGCACTTAGTTATTCACGACTTTCATCACAGAATCATAGAATACTAGGACTGGAAGGGACCTCGAAAGGTCATCGAGTCCAGTCCCCTGCCCTCATGGCAGGACCAAATACTGCCTAGACCATCCCTGATAGACATTTATCTACCCTACTCTGAAATATCTCCAGAGATGGGAATTCTACAACCTCCCTGGGCAATTTATTCCAGTGTTTGACTAACCTGACAATTAGGAACTTTTTCCTACTGTCCAACCTAAATCTCCCTGGCTGCAGTTTAAGCCCATTGCTTCTTGTTTTATCCTCAGAGGCCAAGATGAACAAGTTTTCTCCCTCCTCCTTATGACACCCTTTTAGATACCTGAAAATGGCTCTCATGTCCCCCCTCAATCTTCTCTTTCCTAAACTAAACAAGCCCAATTCTTTCAGCCTTCCTTCATAGGTCATGCTCTCTAGACCTTTAATCATTCTTGTTGCTCTTCTCTGGACCCTCTCCAATTTCTCCACATCTTTCTTGAAATGCGGTGCCCAGAACTGGACACGATACTCCAACTGAGGCCTAACCAGTGCAGAGTAGAGCGGAAGAATGACTTCTCGTGTCTTGTTCACAACACACCTGTTAATGCAGCCCAGAATCATGTTTGCTTTTTTTGCAACAACATCACCCTGCTGACTCATATTCAGCTTGTGGTCCACTGTAATCCCTAGATCCCTTTCTGCCGTACTCCTTCCTAGACCATCGCTTCCCATTCTGTATGTGTGAAACTGATTGTTCCTCCCAAAATGGAGCACTTTACATTTGTCTTTATTAAACTTCATCCTGTTTACCTCCGAACATTTCTCCAATTTGTCCAGATCATTTTGAATTATGACCCTATCCTCCAGATTAGTCGCAACCTCTCCCAGCTTGGTATCATCTGCAAACTTAATAAGCGTACTTTCTATACCAATATCTAAATCTTTGATGAAGATATTGAACAGAGCCGGTCCCAAAACAGACCCCTGCGGAACCCCACTTGTAATGCCTTTCCAGCAGGATTGTGAACCATTAATAACAACTCTCTGAGTATGGTTATCCAGCCAGTTATGCACCCACCTTATAGTAGCCCCATGTAAGTTGTATTTGCCTAGTTTATTGATAAGAATATCATGCGAGACCGTATCAAACGCCCTACTAAAGTCTAGGTATACCACATCCACCACTTCCCCCTTATCCACAAGACATGTTATCCTATCAAAGAAAGCTATCAGATTGGTTTGACATGTTTTGTTCTTTACAAATCCATGCTGGCTGTTCCCTGTCACCTTGCCACTTTCCAAGTGTTTGTAGATGATTTCCTTAATTACTTGCTCCATCATCTTCCCTGGCACAGAAGTTAAACTGCCGCCTGAGACCTGAGCACGCAGGGCGGCTGCCCAGAGCCATGTGCTGAGGGGCATTTGAATATCTCCTGTGACCTTACCTGGGGCCAGCCAGCTACATAGGAGGGAAACCCAGCAGCCACCGTCAGGGAGGGCAGAGGCTCTGACTTGTGCCAGGTAACTCGTCTGCTCTGGCGGGAGCAGCAGCAGGGTGGGTGCCCAGGGCAGGGGCTCCCCATCCTCCCTGGGACAGAGGCCCCCAGTAGAAGCCCTGTGGCGAAAGGGTGGGGCTGGCTGTGCTGGAAGAGGCTCGGGGCAGGAGGGGATTGAAGAATTGTGTCTGTGCGCAGCTTCCCGCTGGGTGGGATGTGGAGCAACCCTGCTGTCTGGGTGTGTAGTGTGGAGCAGGTGTGGGTCCCCCCCCCACGCCTTTTTTTCCCCCTTTCCCCCTAAGAGTCCTATAGGAGAACTGAGGAGAGATGAACTACTGGCTCAGGAGGGGGGTCTAACACTTTGAGTTGTTGGGGGGAGACCTTTAAATTGCCCCCCCCCCATGAGCAGTTGGTCTTGTCCTCCTGCTTCCCTGGCTGGCTCAGAAGTTTTGCTCACTCTTCTGGGGGCGGGGGGAGGGAGAGCCAAAGCCGCTGCTTCCTCAGTGTGGGGCAGGTAGGTGCAGAGTGTTACTGAAATCAGCCCTCCCATGCGCCCTAGGGAAATGAGTCCCAGTGGGTGATGTCTGGCTGGGTGGCTGAAACACCTTAACCTTCCATTCAGTTCTTAACGACCTGGCCACAGCCTCAGGGTTTGTTTGTATTCAGCAGGGTGCTGACATTTCTCGGGGTGGGGGGCCCTGTGGAAGCTGTTTCTGAGCAGTGTGGTTCCTTCATGGAGATTAACGCTAAGGATATTTTCTTTGCACCCATCTCAACCTGCAAACCTTCAGGCTCCGGGGTTCCCAGGGTGAGACTCTGAAGATAAGGTGGCAGATAAGAGAACCCTCTGAACTGTCATTCATGCTTAAATTCAACACTTTACATTCAAATTTGAATAAAGATGCTAATTATCTTACCCATTACAGAGATAGCTTCCCCAATTATCACCTCTAATATCATTAGCTCACAGACATTTACCTCCCCCACCCCCCTCCATCCCCCTCCTGTTCTGAAATGTGATTTGTCCTTTTCATATTTGTTCATTTTTTTAATTGTATCCTTTGGTATATATGGTTGTGACAATTTTCTTCCACTATTTGATCTGAGGAAGTGGGTCTGGCCCACGAAAGCTCATCATCTAATAAACCATCTTGTTAGTCTTTAAAGTGCTACATTGTCCTGATTTTTGAAGATAAGGTGTGATTGTTGTGACTTGCAGTTTCAATGAGGCACTTAAACCCAGAAGAACTCTGTGGGAATATAGGCTCTTTCCCACCCCGTCGCCTGTGCAATGCTTCACGCCTGCTGCTCCGGCTTATGAAAAGGCTTGCTGGAATGCACTCTGTGTGTAATGTGTTAAGCTTTTCATCTTGTTATAATTTTCACAGTTATTGAGAAATCATGGAGGGAGGTCCGATGATTTTTTAATAACGAAGCAGAGATGCAAAGAGTTCACGCTTTAAAGCTGTTAAAACCCAAACAGAGAGACAAGGGGGGAGGGAAGTAATATCTTTTTTTTTAATTATTTTGGAACAGTTTTGGGTGGTGAGACCCGGAGAAGAGCTCTGAGGCGTTCCAAAGGTTGTCTCTGTCACCAACCCTATTTGATCCAATTAAAGATATTACTTCACTCACCGTGTGACTCTCAATATGACTACAACAAAACAGCAAAACCCACCCTCTCACATGTCAAGATCCGTGGCCACATGTACAAAATAATTATCTTAACCCCAGACATGATTTGTTGATTTAATGATTCATTCACTCGTCCATTTGTGACAAGCCCAGTTCAGCCGTTTCTATCATTGAATGTTAACAAGTGCTCAGGAATCATGGTTCTTGCTTTCCCTGTCTGTAAATAATTGAATTATTACTGATGGAAATAGTTCAGGATTTGTGTGTACTGTGAAACCAGCTCATTTCTAAGTTGTTTTGCAAAGAACCAAACAAAATAAAATAAGCACAAAACCCCAAATCCCTAGAGATTTCAGGGGCCTAAGTGTCCTCTGGAATTGTTAAAGTTGCCTTCCCCTGCCCTACCGCAATCTGAACCGGCCCCCCGGGCTAGTCAGGAGTGGCCAGAGGGCTGCAGGAGGGCCACGTGCTGGTTGCCACCCCCATGTGCCAGCAGGGAGCTCGCCATGAGCTGCAGACCAAACACCAGGCATTAAGGGCGAGGGCTGTGCAGCAAGGGAGGAACCGCTGAAGGGCGAGGGACCCGCCCAGGGCTTTTTACCCACAATTTCATTTCACAATCTGACATGATTCAAAACCAGCGGCTGCTTTTGTGTGTGTCAGATCCGGGGGGAAATATTAATGCAGGGGTGGGAACCTTCTGGGGGTCGGGGGTCGCTGACCCACAGAAAAATCAGTCGGGGCCCACACACAAGTGAGAAGGAAAACCCCAGACCCCTCACTGCTGTGGGCCCCAGCGGATTCCCCTCGCACTCTAGAGCCCTGGGGGGCCAGGCCGGTACATTTTGTGTGCTCCCGTCCCATGGGGGGATGGCAGGAGGTTGGTGCACAGGGTCCCAATACTGGAGGGGGGAGCCCTGAGCCTCAGGGGCCAGATCCAGGCAAGCTGGGGACCACGTCCAGACCCCAGGCCGTAGGTTCCCCACCCCTGATTGAAGCTACAATGATCCATTCCCCATGTGGCTCTTAAAGGAAGGCTTGGTCCAGGACTATGGCACCCTCTGACAACTCCCTTTGCAAGGAGGTGCAACAGCCCTGTGCTAAGGGGAGCAAGGGACTGAGCAGCTTCCAAGGGAAATGCAGGGGCACCAGGCCCAGGGCAGGGAGGCCCAGGGCGCCAAAATGCAAGTTTGCCTAGGGTGCCATTTTCCCTGCGGCCGGCCCTGTGTGCAGGAGGGGGAGCCCTGGGCCTCGCGGGCCGGATCCGGTGCGGGGGAGAAGATGCACAGGGCCACGTGCTGCTGCTCACGCTTCCCCCGGCTGGGGCAAGGCGGTGCTGGAAACTGCTCGTGAGAGTTTCCCCGCTGCTCCCATTGGCCAGATTTTGGGGCTACATCAGTGAGGGGGTGCTGTTTGGGGGGTGCTGCCTCTCACTTGTGTGACCCCACCTGATTTTTCCGTAGGTCAGTGGCTCCGGACCCAAAAAGGGTTCCCCACCCTGATCTATGGTTTTCCAGGAGCATCTTCATCAACAGCTATTGTTGCACCTGATTTTTCCGTAGGTCAGTGGCTCCGGACCCAAAAAGGGTTCCCCACCCTGATCTATGGTTTTCCAGAAGGAGCATCTTCATCAACGCCTATTGTTGTTTCTCTCTCTCTCTCTCTCTCGCTCTCTCTCGCTCTCACACACACACACACACACACGTATATATGCATATATATAAATGCACATTGTGGGTATGAAAAATAATGGTGCCTTATGATAACTCGGGTGGTTAACCATAGATTGCCATAGGATGGCAACTTTTCCCTTCTGGATGCTTGAGTACAATTAAGACACGATACTGTTGTACTTTTACTCAAGCGTTTTCCAGAAGGATACTTTGACTTCTACTGAGTTACATTTTTTTCAAAGTAGCTGTGCTTTTACTCAAGTGACTTTCTGGGGTCCTGTATCCAGCACTGTACTTCAGGGTACCACGGTATCCCGAAATAGCTCTGCAGTGTAGCCGCAGCCTGGCTGAGCACTGGTTAACTAAAAGTGACCCTCTGTGCCCACTCTGCCCAAGACACGAGCCTGTGCTAGCCCTGGCTGTGGGGCGAGGCCTGAGGAGCAATGCTGTCAGCCCCATCCCTGCCCACCCTGCCTAGTAGCTATGGATGGACCTGTCCTCCATTTATCGAGAACATCAGAACGGCCACGCTGGGTCAGACCAACGGTCCGTGCAGCCCAGTGTCCTGTCCTATGACAGTGGCCAAGGCCAGGTGCCCAGAGGGAGTGAACAGAAACAGGGAACCATCCGATGATCCCTCCCCTGCCACCCACTCCCAGCCCCTGGCCAACAGAGGCCAGAGACTCCCTCCCTGCCCATGTCGGCTCATAGCCACTGATGGACCTACCCTCCTTGAATGTATGTTTTGAACCCTGGGAAAGTCCTGGCCTTCACAGCTAGGACCCAGAGCAATCAGTGAACCCGAACGGGGCTACGTTTGTAACGAACACAGCCAGAAGCAGACAGCCCCCCAGCTCTCCGTGTCGGAGGGCGTTGGCTTGCCTTCGGTTTTTTGTCCTGGTGAATTGTTCCGTTGTCCGGGGACTCTGAAAGGAATAACACGCCTACGGGTAGCTATGTGCAAAGAAACACCAGGACTCGCCTTTGTGTGTTAGGTCAACAGCCCCTGGGTTATACACCAGCCCGAGCCCTGTGACGACGGACAAGCCAACCGGCGGTGGGTGTGTGAGAATTCGGGAGTCAGAGCTCAGAAACGCAGATGGCTCGTGTGCGCCCGTCTCTCACCATGGTTTATTTAACCCTTCCCGCTTCGGGCTGGGGATCCCTCAACGCAGAGAGAGCCGCGCCCTTCAGCCAGACTGCGGAAGCGTGAGGACGGCCAGCTCCGTCTCCCCCAAAGGCCACTGTCAGAGCAGCACTGGCCGTCGTTCCACGCCCGAGGACTTTCACGTTCTTTTCCTTGTCTCCGGGTAGCTTCCTGGGGCCCTACAGTGGTCGGCCTGGAGCGCCTGGTCCGTTCTCACTCTGAAACGCTAAACGCCAGGGCTCGGGCGTCGTTAGCTGCTAAATACATGTGACCCTTTTGTGGGCGTGGCCTTGCGTTCCAGGGGTCGGTTTCGGTACTTGGCTGCCCCTCCCCCCACCATTAGTGCAGTGTCTGCACTCGGCCGTGTTTCACGTGTCTATCCCGGGAGGTGGGCCGGAGCCAGGCCCTTTGCTCTACGGCTGGAGAGGCGAGAGCCCGAGGCGCTGTCTATCCAGACAGCCTGCAGCAAGCCGGGGGTGCCAATCTGCCTGGCACTAGCTGTGGCCCGCCCGGCGAGGTCCACGCTCCTGCTTGCTCTGGCCGCGTTCGTCCAGTTGGAATGCGTCCTCGGGAGGGCTCCAGGGGGGCCGTTGCCCGGCGGCTTTGCTCCCTTTGGGATCTGAGCTGAAACGCCAACTGCCTGCAGCTCCCATCTCCATCCCCACAGCCTCTCAGCGGCCTGGGGGAGCCAGAGTGGGCGGAGCATGGCAGGAAAAGCATGGCAGGCCTGAGCCCCACCTCCGCACTCGTCCGCCAGGCGCTACAAGCGGTACAGCCCAGGGCTCCTCCCCCACCCCAGCCAGGCCCCTTCTCCCTCCTGTCCGAGCCGAGGGATGTGGCTTCTTTCCAGCTGGACCCCAGCCTGGCTGACCCCACTGCTGGGACCCCTGGGCCAGGCTGGTCCCTCCCCTCCTTTCCCCAGAGGTGACTTCTCCAGAGCCGGGGGCTGGGGGCTGCAGGTGGAGGAGGGGCCAGTGCCCAGGGCAAAGGGGAGGGCCGAGCTGTGAGGGGAGGGAGCTCTTGCATGGGCTGGTGCTTGCCTGTGAAAGGAAATGGATCACTGGCCAGAAAGGCCCTGGCAGCCCCAGCCCTTTACCACAGTCATGCACCTGTGAGCCTGTTACATGACCCCTGGCCTGACACAGAAGACAGCCCCTGCCTCTAGAGGGGTAGGCGACCCTTCACACCTGTGCTCTCAGGTCTGCACTCAGTGCCAGCTCCCACCTAACCCCTAATTGGCCAGGGTTCCTCTAATGGGGCTAGGCCCTAAGGCCAAAAGGACCATAGAGAGGTCCTCCAGGTGGCTAGAGTGGCTAGGAAGAAACCAGCCAATCAGGGGCAAGCAAGGACTACATAAGGAGCTGAAGGACTAGAGACAGCTCACTTCCAGCCCAGACCTGAAAGGGAGAAGGTATGGGGGAGAGGGGGGCTGGCAGAGCCAAGGACAGCCCAGCATGGGGAGCTGTTTAGGACACTCCCCAGGGGGAGACGCCTTGGAGGCAGCGCTCTCCTACTGCTTGAGGAAACAGAGACTGGACCGAACTGGGAGGCGGCAGCGGGATGAGCCCTTGGCCAAGTATCTACCCCAGCTGGGGTTTGTGACCTCCAGGACCCTGTGTGCCTCGGGCGGAGGAGCCACGAGGCTCTGGAAAGATGGAGAGAGGGGGCACCGTGAGGCGGATGCAGCCCCGCGACAGGCACTAAGTCCCCCTACACTGGGTTGGATCACGGGTCCCCTGGAGACTCTCCTGCTGGGCTGATGGTACCACAGAGCCTGCCCCCCGGCGGAGGGTCTTGCTCGGGGTCTCCGATGAAGCCTCGTCTTCCCCCAGCACTGTCCCCGCAGCCCAGGCGGATGCAGCCCCGCGACAGGCACTAAGTCCCCCTACACTGGGTTGGATCACGGGTCCCCTGGAGACTCTCCTGCTGGGCTGATGGTACCACAGAGCCTGCCCCCCGGCGGAGGGTCTTGCTCGGGGTCTCCGATGAAGCCTCGTCTTCCCCCAGCACTGTCCCCGCAGCCCTGCTTTCTCCACCGAAGAAACACGGCGGGGGGAGCAGGGGG